TATTCGGTTCTTGGTCTAAACCCGATACTAGACACAAACACATCGGTTCTTGATTCGGGTACCCGTTCGGTTATTTAACTTATGAAGAACCGCTCGATTTGATTCGGTTCAAGATTTTGGACACCCCTAAAAGAAAGCAAGCTGGTGTGCCCTAGAATGTATCGCCATGGCCAACTACCTACCCCTCAAACAGACTCAATATATCAAGGACTCAAGCATGAGGTTCCGACCTGGGCCCAGTACAGAGAGGTTGTGAACCACCAAAGAGAGACTCAACATCAAAAATGTCTGGCCTACTGTCCCGAGCAAACTGCAATCCATAATGTAGAGACATAGATATTGCAACCTCCGGATAAAAACTGCCCCTAAAACCTCGAGAAGTGTTGCATGACTATCACGAATGATAACCCTGGCACCCACAAAGACGACTGTAGTTTGAACAGCTGCATCCACATTCAGCTTCAGAAGCTCGACAATCGGTTTAACCCAATACTGGTTGGTTCATGCTGCACCAATATGGACCATCTTATTCAAAAGGGTACTTTTAAAATTGATTTAGTCAACCTCCCTAATTTTCACTTTGAATTTTTCACTAATTGCATATTTCCACAATGACTTTTTTAGTGTTTAAAGATAAAAATGCCCTTAAATATGTTATACAATTACGAAATATTGTTTTCTTACAATGACAATACTACCATTTTAGTTAACAAGTAAAAAGTCAAAACACTTTCCACTAAAAGTTTCAAAATTAGCTAACTTTTCTTATCTGTTTATTTCAATACAAATAAAATTTCTCTTATTTTTCATCTGTTTCATTCTCAAAATTTCAGAAATTTATCAAATGCTGAACAAGAAATATATTTTTATATCTATCATTTCAAATCGATAAGTATATTTACGTATGTTTAATTTCGTTTTTTGTTAAATTAATATACTTTTTTAATCGATAATTTTTATTTCGACATAGATTAGCATGTAGATAAATTTTTTTAAGAGATCTATAATTTTTTAAGCATAAATAAGAAAAAAATTATCTACATGTATATTCTTTCAGACTAGATTCATGACAATGTATAATAGTTGGCCTTAACAGCCGATCCGGCTATTTTTTTAATTAAAAGTTCTATTGCCTAGTGGATGGGTCGATCTTCTGACTATATTTTTCTTACAATTAAAAATTATGTTCATCATGCAGATATGAATGTAATCCCGGTTTGTTACTTTGGTGATTTTGTATTTGATGAAAAAAATCGATGGGCATAGACAAGTGATATACGTGGTGATATTTCAATTTTCATAACATCGAGTACATCATATGCTAAAATGTACCAAACTTTACAAAACAAGCTGAAGCCAATCCCTCTCAGTACGATATGAAACTAAAATTTCAATTCAACAAGCATTTATCCTTTCCGATTCGACCTAAGAAGGCTACTTCAGAAGTTGAAGTGAATTATCTATTTGAATTGAACAAAACGCATACGACTTCTCTTTGCGTGACTTTACTGACTAAGAATGTCGTCGAAAATGAACATGAAGATTCGGATGGAGGGGATCACAATGCCAATAATATTAAGGACACAATGGAGATAGCTCGTGAGGATGATGTGGTTATTCTCGAGACAGTTGTTCATCATCGTGATTTCGTTGTTACACACAGAATTCCCTCAATAGTTCACAACAATGAGAATGAAAATGAATTTACAAATGAAGATTCGATTGTTTTATCCCGCCAGAGACATAAGTGGGGTGGGAGTTTAGGGGCTGGATCGAGTGGATCATCATCTAATTCTTCGCGTGTGATTCCCGATGATGATGATTTGTATGTCGAGGAACTATTTGAAACAAAGAAAGATTTGCAAGAAGTTATACACCAGTTTGCACTGAAATACAACTTTGAGCTCAAAGTGAAGAAATCAAAGAAGTTATTGTTGAGAATTATTTGTGTCGACGACAATCGCCGTTGGCGTTTGCAAGCGACGCAGATGAACATGAATGACTTATTTATAGTTCGCAAGTATATTCAGGAACATACTTGCGAAGCGGGAATTCGTCGACATGATCACAGGCAAGCCCGAACATAAATTATTGGTCGACAGATAATGCATAAGTATTAAGATCCACAAATGATCTACAAACCTTCGAATATCATTAACGACATCCATCGACAGTACTGAATGGTCATGAGCTACTAGAAGACCTAAAAGGCCAAATAATTCTCTTTGGAGGATTTAATGGGCTCAGTTGAGGAAAGTTATGCTAAATTGACAATGTGTTGTTATAACATGGGGACAACTAATCTTGACTCGACATTTTTATTGAGACAGAGGACAAGAATTGATTCAAGTTTTTCTTTATTGATCTTGGACAATGCATTTGAAGATTTCGAAATATGATGCGACCCCTAAATCTAGTCGATGATAAAACTATGAAAGCTAGATACGAAGACAAGTTGATTATTGCTGAATGTCAAGATGCCAACGTCCAAATTTACCATCTCTCATTCGACATAGTCAATAACGAAAATAAGGAATATAAATATTATTTAAAATTGAAAAAAAAAACATAAATTATCATAAAGGAAAAAAAACAAAAAACAATGAAAAATGAAGAAAAAAAAAAAAATAAGCCCAAAAAAAAAAAAAAAAAAAA